TTTTTTAAATTCTGCGATAATGAATTTGATCAGATTGATATGGCAGGAAGTATTGATGAAATAAATGAGCAATTTACTACAAATATAATTAAAAGCGCTAATCAAACTATTGGGAATAAAACTGGTAAACTTAGTAAATGTGTTAAGATGGTACCGTGGTGGAACAAAGAATGTAATGATGCAATCCGAAACAAAATCAGGCCGTTTGGAAAGCTAAGAAAGACACATTCATTACATAATTTATTAGAATATAAAAAGGCACAGGCTCAGGTAAGGAACATTGTGAAAAGAGCAAAAAGGGAGTGTTGGAGAGGATTCTGTTCAAGTATTGGGAGAACTACACCATTAGATAAAGTATGGGGAATGGTTAAGAAGATGAGGGGAATAAGACAGCAGAGTAACCTGCCAGTTTTAGAGAATGGAGGGGAAATTGCCACTGGTGCTATGGAGAAAGCAGAAATTCTAGCTAAACTTTTTGTCAAAGTTCCTTCTTCGAAAAATTTGACAGAATAAGGTAAGATCAGGAGGCAGGAAGTGTTAGATGAATCTGATTGGAAAACATCCAAATGGCAATTGTGATGGTTGCCAACAACCAGAGACAATACATCATGTATTTTTGTAGCTGCCCGGATTATATCAGACAAAGATTCATTCTGAAAACTGCACTGGAACAACTCAACGTCAAGGACATGGATTTCAAGTCAATATACGAAAGTAAATCAAGAAATGAAGCAAACAAGCTGATCTTCAAATTCCTCAAAAGCACTGGTCTGAGGATAAGGATTTAATATAAACATTTAATAACTCAACAGTAGGCGGCGATATATGCTCCAAGTGGAAGCGATTCGCCATTAAAGAAAAGAAGAAGAAGAAGAAGAAGAAGATCGGCTCCTTTTCATCTTCTCGCTGTGTGAGAGTACCGTGGCTACATTCTTGTAGCCTACATCGTTCAGGTTTGAACGTTTGATCTGAGGGATTTCTCTGCATGCAGTGGCCCCCTGCAGCTTCGCGACTGACAGTCGGAGGTCTGCAACTCAACCCTTCTCTGTGAGGGGACACATTAAGCAGTTACACAGGAAGTGCACAATATGCGGAAGTGGATTTTGTATTGATGAGCAGAGCGCACACCTGCGAAAGACGATAAGACAATGGCCTCACAAGACTAAGCTGTTGGATAAACAGCAGCTGGCTGTGTTAAAGCACCCCCTCCCTCAGGTTTGTTGTTCTTGTCTTGAATAGGAAAGCTCTCCCGGCGTGTTGCTTCTCCATTGGCTGCCATGGCCTTCTTTATCCTCTCACACTAACACTAGCCCTCCGCTGCTCCAGCTCTCACCCTGTGTCCTCATGTGTCCTCTGCAGCTGAAGACGCTGCTCTTCGGAGCCTGGCTGCTCGGATACGTCTTCTTCCTGCTCTCCATCAGGAGGATGTGGACCGGGAAGTACGTCCGCAGCCCGCTGGCCCGGTCCCTCTTCCTGAACATGGTGAGCAAGGACGAGGCTGCCGCGACCGAGACTCAAGAGGTATGAACTGTTACTAATGTTAACTGTTAATAATTACTGTTAGTAATATTCCGCCTTATCAACAATCATGGACAGACTGACTAGATACTAGACTCACGTGACACCAGACAGCGTGTTATGTTACACTGATCAGAGGGCAGATAACCGATCATTCTACCCTTTTTTTTTTGCTTACTCAAAGCCAAGTCCATGTATTTATTTAAGAAGAAGACATACTTTATTAATCCCTCACAGGGAAGTTACTTTCTAGACTCTGTTTACACACATAACACACACACAGGGACGATATACATGCCCACACACAGAGGATATACATGCACACACACAACCACATGCAGATAGGAGAGGTGCAGAGCAGAGAGGCTGCCAGTTAGCCGGTGCCACTAAGCTGTTTCGGGGTTCGGTGCATTACTCAAGGGCACCTCGGCAGTGGCCCAGGAGTTGAACTGGTACCTCTCCAGCTACCAGCTCACACTCTTAAAATAGCACCTTAAACACAAGGCAATTCTTAGAAATAGTGCAGAGGAATAATGCAGGTATAAAATACATGACGGTGCTTGTTTTATTTTAAGGCCTCTTCCACTGGTGGGTAGTAAAAGTACTATCACCGCACTATACAAATACTCAATTTGAAGTAAAAGTACTGCATCGAGAAAGATACAAAATGTAAGTTTTTAAGTACGATTAGGAAAATATACTTGAAAGTATTTGGAGTAAAAGTACTTATTAAGTATAAAATGAAATGACTTTGTTGTATTAATGTATAAATCTAATCTATTGCACCTGTCCCCACCCTATCCACACACACACACACACACACACACACACACACACACACACACACCCTTAAACAGACACTGCACACTAAACACTCACCAATGTTTAACCCCTTTCTGTAAAGAGTATTGTATCTCTGTCTTCTCAGCTCATTTATGGTACATCAAAAAGTTGATTCATTTCAGTAATTCTATTTAAAAAGTGAAACTCAATTGTTATATGGATTCATTTCACACAGTGAATTATTTCAAGTGTTTATTTGTTTTAATCTTGATGATGAAGGCTTATAGCTAATGAAAACCTGCAGACTTGAGAGGATTTTCAAGCAAAAGCCATTCATTTATTAAGTCCCAAGTCAACGCAGCCGTCCCCCAGGACATTTTAGAGCACTTCATGCTCCCTTCTTCTGACAAGCTTTATGGATTAAGCTGATTTCATTTCCCAGTAATACTTGGCACCTGCCCACACTGCCAAAAGTACCTGGTTTAAGGACCATGGAATTACTGCCTGTACTTCATTTGCCAGAAAACTCCCCTGACCTGAACTCTATCGAGAATCTATGGGGTATTGTCAAAAGACCAGACCCAACAAATCAAACTCCATCACACCTCAGCAGAGCCACAGGCTGATCGCCTCCATGCCACGCCACATGGACGCAGTCATTTGTGCCAAAGGAGGCCCAACCAAGTAGTGAGAGCAGGAACAGGAACATACTTTTCAGAAGGCCAACATTTCTGTATTAAAAATCTGTATTTTTTCTATTGGTCTGTAAGCAGTAATCATCAAGATTAAAGCAAATAAACACTTGAAATAATTTACTTTGTGTGAAATGAATCTATATAAGATATGAGTTTAACTTTTAAAATAGAATTACGGAAATTAAACAACTTTTCCACAATATTCTAATGTATGAGATGTACCTGTACATATAGCCCGCTGTTTGTTATCTGTCTTATCTTTATTCTTTAAGCCATGTGGGAACAAGTGTACAAGTGATAATGAAGTAGATCCAATGCTGCTCCACCTCTCTCTGGTTTAAATGTGAATACTTCCCTCTCCTTGTTCCGGGGCTGCAGTGGTACAGGTGCGGTCCGGACCTGCTGGGAGAGTCTGTGCGGCCCCTGTTTGTACAGAGCCATCTGGACTCGGACACCAAGGCTTTCCTGAAGCGGAGCGTGGATAAGTCTGGCTGGCTGTTCACCCAGCTCTACCACTCCTTTGTGTCCACCTTCCTCAGCCCGCTGGTGTCCCGCACCTCCATCAATGGGTGAGTATCACAGACATGTCCTGCTCCATCCAACTGAGTCTCCTCCTCTGACCAGCTCTCTGTCTCAGGTTTCTGGATCGCGGCTCTATGTTTGTCTTTTCCCCGGAGCAGTTCCAGCAGCTGCTCCGGGTCGGCCCGGAATGGAGGTCTGACAGACTGCTGGACCTGGGGGCTGGGGATGGTGCTGTCACTGGGGTGATGGGAGCACATTTTAGAGAGGTTTATGCAACTGAGGTCTCTCCACCCATGAAATGGCATCTTCAGAGGAGGAATTACAAGTGAGTAATAAACCAAATGACTACTGTGATCTTCATTCAGCGTGCTTTATAACTCACAGTAATAATAGTTGTTTTGATCCATCTGTATGACTGTTATACTTGCCATTAAATCTCAAAGATCAATATCAGGGCATTTTAAACTGATAAGTATAGGCCAGGGGTATTCAACTAAAATTCAACGAGGTCCAGTTCGAGAAAATGTCCCCATGCAAAGGTCCGGAACATCAAAATGTCTAAGTTGCTTGATGAATTAGTGTGATATATATTGAAGTAGCCTGTAGCTTTATCAACGTCTGCATGTAATCAACAACTGACTGCCAAATAAAGAAAGTACAATTCAAAAACAACAATATGTATTGTCAATTAACATTGAACTATACAGATATACAGTAAATACTGTGGATATGTGTAATGTTCCTCTCGGTGC